GCCGGCCGCGGGGCTCGGAGCCGCCGGTGTTCCAGCGCCCCGGCCCAGCCACCCTCCGCAATCGCCCAACAGGCGTTGCTGAGCCCCGACTGAGGGCCCAGCCCGCCAATGGGGCAGCCGCGCTTCTGCCGCTTGCCCCACTCACACCCGCGTGGAGGAGGGCAGTCGGCAAGAAGTCCGGGCACATCTGTGTGCTTCCACGACAACGGGCTGGAGAGAGGTCGTGGAGGAGCCTGATGGATGGGACCGAGCCACGGGGGGAAATGCATTCTGGGCAGAGGTCCTGAGGCAAGAGGTGCCTGGCCAGTGTGAGCGCCAGGGGGGCGGCCAGTGTGACCCTGAGGACCGGCTGGTGCTTGTTCTGTCCTCACGCTCTCTCAAGGCCCTCTGTGGCCTCACAAGCTAGGTTCGATGGCCCTCAGTTCCCAGCAACCCAAAGAAAAAATATAAAGCAGGCCTGAGCTCTTGAGTTCGCAAGGGGTAGAAACACAGAAACACACACACACACACACACACACACACACACACACAACTGGATCTGCCTTGTGCATGGAGCCTGACACAATAGGTGCTCGATAAATGTCAAGAGAATGAATGAGGCCACATATGGTAGCTCACACCTTTAATCCCAGCACTTTGAGGGGCCGAGGTGGAAGGACTGAGCCCAGGAGTTTGAGCCCAGCCTGGGCAACATAGCAAGACCTTGAATCTACAAAAAAAAATTTAAAACTTAGTCATAGGCCAGGTGCAGTGGCTCAGCCTGTAATCCCAGCACTTTGGGAGCCCAAGATGAGAGGATTGCCTGAGCCCACAGGTTCAAGATCAGCCTGGGCAACTTGGCGAGACCTCATCTCTACAATAAATCAAAAAATTAGCTGGGCATGGTGGCAAGTGCTTGTAGTTCCAGCTACTTGGAAGGCTGAGGCAGAAGGATCGCCTAAGCCCAGCAGGTCGAGGCTGCAGTGGCCATGAGTGTGCTCTCTGCACTTCAGCCTGAGTGACAAGAGTGAGACTCCAACTCAAAAAAAAACTTAGCCGTGGGTGTTGGTGTGTGCCTGTCGTCCCAGCTACTTGAGAGGCTGAATAGAAAATATCACCTGAGCTCAGAAGGTCAAGGCTGTGGTGAGCCATGATTATGCCACTGTACTCCAGCCTGCATGGCAGAGACCCTGACTCAAATTAAAAAAAAAGAAGGAATGAACTGCTGTGGCCCGTCACCAATGCCTCACTAAGTGGCTACAAAATGCCTCTTCCTGCGGGTATGGCTCTTTCCTGAGTCCTTTCCTGGGAACGGTTTCCTCACAGTCTGGGTCATCCCCTGGGAATGTCAGTCCTTGGGAGGATTCCAGTGAGACAAGGTTGTGACCTTTTGAGACCAGTTCAGAGGTTGTGTGGGATTATGCAAGGGCCAGCTTGGACCAGAATGGCGGTTCAAAAATCTGGAAAGTTCTCATCACATCCAGAAGTCCCATTTCTTTTCAAAAACCAAAACTGTTGGGGGGGGTTGGCAGTTGAGGGAAACTGCTAGGGGAGGGAGGGGCATACCTCATCAACAAGGGGACCTGCATAACCAACTTTTGTATACCTAACCCTGAATTGTACCCCACATCTTTATAATAAAAAATAAATAAAAACCAGACAACATGGCCACAGCACAGCCACAATCTTGCTGGGATTCTGGTGGCTGGACTGGGTGATGATCACTCCTGTTAGCTGGCATCCAAGCTCTCCGGTCCACTATAAGCCCCATTTTCCCAACCGAAGCTGGGATGGAGACCACAGACCCTGGAGCTGGTGGCCGGCACTTTGGAAGTTCTGTTCCTCATGCTGTCCCTTCCCAGTTGTGTGGTACCAGGTTAAGCTACTCAATCTCTGCCTCAGTGTCCCCATCAGTAAAATGGAGGTAACATTAATACTAACTTCATGGGTTACTGAGAGAATTTAATGACAAAATTCATCTGAAGTGCTTAGTTATACAGTAAGTGCTCAATAAATGCTCAATAGGCTCAATTGGTGACCCAGGGCTGGGACATTCATCAGGGTCTCAGAACATCAACATCCATTTGACTAATTTGAGTCAGGGTCTCACTCTGTAGTCCAGGCTGGAGTGCAGTGGCATGATCAAGGCTCACGGCAACCTGAAACTTCCTGGGCTCAGGTGATCCCTCCACCTCAGCCCTCCAAGTAGCTGGGACTACAGGCATGCACCACCATGCCCAGTTAATTTTTTGATTTTTCTGTAGAGACGAGGTCTCACTATCTTTCCCAGGCTGGTCTCAAACTCCTGGGCTTAAGCAGGAGTTTGCTTTGGAATTATGGCGTGAGCTACCATGTCCGGCTCATCCATTTATTGAGCACTTGCTGTATACTCGCACTGTGCTAGGGGTTAATGGATCTACCCGGTCACCTCCCTACTCTCACCAACCCCCATTTCTCCCTCACTCACCGCAGTCTAGCCAGACTCACCTCCTCACCGCTCTCCTAACAGTCCAGGCACAGTTCTGCCTCAGGGCCTTTGCACTTGCTGTACCCCCTACCGAGAATGCTCTTTCTCCAGACATCACATGAATTGTCCCTTCACTTTTTTCAAGTCTCCCCTAAAAGTCAGCTCCCTGAGGGCAAGGATTTGGGTCTGTTTTGTTTACAGCTGTGTCGCTACACCCAGCACAGAGCTGCGCACACTGCAGGCATTCAAGAAAACAGACGATGACTGGACAGTCCCATCCAGCTAACTGGGCTCCTGGTCCCGCAGCCAGGAGGGACTGGGCAGGCCTGGTGCCCATGCCAGGCTGGCTCTGGATCATCCCTCGGACCACCGTCCCCACCGAGGCACTGTACCGCTCACCTTGTGAACACGAGTGATGACCTCCACGCCCACAGAGCCCACCAGGGCTGCGATGTCATCCAGGAAGCGCCCAGGGAAGCGCAGCTTTCGGGGAGTGCCCATTCGCTGGCCCAGAAGCAGATGCAGCGCCATGCTCTTCACCTGGGGGCGGGGCAAGAGTGCTGGGGGTGGGGCTTGTGGGACTGGATGGAGGAAGCTTGACCAAAGGGGCGTGGCTTTCGCAGTAAGGGAGGCAGGCTCGACCCTTGCTATCTGTACAGGCTGAGACGGGAGCAGGGCCTGAAAGCCTGTGGGCGGGGCTTGAGGGACCATGGGCGGAGAAGCTTGGTGAGGGGGCGGGGCTTGAGCCCTGCAGCTACAGGCTGAGGGCGGGCTCACAGGGAGGTGGGCGGGGCTTGTGGTGTGTGGGTGGGGGTTGAGAAAGTCGTGGGAGGAGTCCTGGGCAGAGAAGCAGGAAGACTGTGGGGGGCGTGGGCGGAGCTTAAAAAGATCTCACGGGGGCAAAGTCTGCGGGTAGGACAGAAGGTGAGGCTTGAGGCAGGGAATTTTTGGGGAGCCCTGGGTGGGGCTTGAAGGCCCATCAGAGGGCCAGAGGGGATGTGGCCTGCAGGCTCTGGGAAGGGGGCGTGCAAAGCTCCTACTGAAGAGTTTTGGGCGGTCTCTACCTTGATCAGAAGGGTTTCCCTCTCTACCTGGAGATATCTCTAGGAGAAGGGAGGTGTTCTCTCTGGGTGGGTGGGGTCTTTTAATGGTCTCCCACAAAAGTTTGATGGACGAGGGGCCCTCTGCTTCTCAGGGGTCTCTGCAGTCTCATAGGGCTTCTCTCCCTGAGGAGGGTCTCCCCTGGGGGTGTCCCACCGCCTGGCGGGGGGGGTCTCACCATGAGCTGGAAGAAGAACCAGGCGTGCTGGAGGACGGCCTCGCGCACGTTGCTGCTGCTGACCACCCACTGCAGAGCCAGCTCCTCGTGAAGCAGCTGGGGACACAGGCAGGGGGTCACAGGGAGCGAGGCGCCACCCCCTCCCGCGCCCCCTTTGGAGGGCATGCCTGGGAGGCTGCAGCTGGAGGGCTCGAGGTTAGCACGGCAGGCCATGCAGGAGGAAGGGGCAGGAGGCGCCCATGTGCCTTTCCCTGGGCTGTCTGGACCCTGCTGGCCTCTGAGTGTGGAGAAGAGCTCTGGGCCCCTCCGCTGGGGGCCAGGGCAAAAACGGCATCACCCACCCCTCTCCCACTACCTTCTGCACAGTGGGTCTCGGCTGGGTGGCGGGCGGGGCCGGGGAGGAGCCCTCGAGGTAGGAGGAGGCTCGGCCAGAGCTGCGGTCGGTGGCCTGCGATGGAGTGTGATGGCAAGGCACGGGT